CAAAGCTGCTAGACAAACCGTTCATTGGGTTTTAAACTGAACACTTAAAAGGTAAAATTATGCCAGTATTAGCGAAACGTTGATAAAACTCGCCAACGAAAATGGATGAAACGTAAAAAGATGCTCGATTTCTAGTGAAAGCAGTTCGGAAAACGCATCCTAAGGACGCGCGGTCCGCAGACTACACACTATTACATAAACACAAACGGCCCACAGACTCCACACTATTATATTCAGACGACCGGCCTACTGGAACTCGGGGGCGGCTGTGTATGTGTGCGTGAGAACTGCGCACCTGTTTTCATCTATGCCAGACATAACGAGGCTTAGGCCTGGGTAACTTAGAGAAAATTGAGAATTTTTAGGAGTTGGCGCAGTGCTGCATTCCAGCTTCGAATTTCGAACAAAAATCAAACAATTTTCTACCAAAAAACGAACAGAATAGCGGAAGTTTATAACAGATTATTTGGAAATATCGTCACCTCCATTCCTGTGAAGACTGTAGAGCATGTTCAAAAAATGTGGTTTTTTAGTTTTGACTGATTGCGTTACTTTCCACTCAAAATCGCTCTGTTTTGTAGAGTTTCACTTAAAAATACTGACGGTCTGGGGGTCTTTTACTCGAAAAATAAGATAAATCTATAGCTTTGTAGGAATTTTACAAAAACTTTTCAGCGTCGAGTTCGGCACAAAAACTAAAATAAATTTCTGCCGTTTTTTTACCGAAGATTTTCTCAAAAACCGATTACTCAACTATGTTTTTAATTAAAAAAAACGCAAAAAAAACGTTTTCTTCTTTTCTCACTATAATGAGGTATTTTCAGTCAAAAATTACAAAATTTATTTTGCTAGAAAATTGGCCTCATTCATCAGTTTGCAAGTCAAGAAATTAAAGCAACTTAAGAAAACCCTTATCAACTTCGAATTTGGCACAAAAACCAAATAATTGTATTCAGTTTTTATCGAAAATAATTAAGATTATCTTGAAAAAACGTTCAGAGCAAAAGCTTCAAAAAAATTATTTGATTATTTGGAAAAGTCGCGACACTCATAGATCTTAATATTTTTCAAGTTTCTTTAAAATTTCTTCCAGTTTTAGCAAAGTTTCTATTAGGCAATTCTTGCTACGCAAAAAAACGTATTATTTTTAGTTTTACTTAAAATGCTGACAATCTTCAGCTATTTTCTGTGAAAATTATAAAGTACATTTTATTGGAACACTCGGCTCCTGAACAGCTTCGTAATTTTTTATCTGGAACCTTTTGCAGCTTTGACTTTTGGACAAAAGCCTAATAATTTGTTCTGTATTTTTTCCCAAAAATATTTCCCCGAACAGAACAAGTGAACGTTTAGAATCAATTATTCGGAAAACTTTTTTCACTTTTGTCGCTGTGAATAATTTTGTTTATTTAAATTCCGGTTTCTTCACTTTTAGGTCAATATTTCTGAACAAAACTCTCTCTAAACAGAACAACGCATTTTTTTCTAACGTTTTGCTATAAAATACTGGCAAACTGAGAGTCTTTTATGCAAAAACTTCAAAATATGGATTTACAAGAAAAGTCGCCGTCTTTACAGTTTGGTCTTCTTTATCGTCTTTTTCGAACAC